CCTCTGTGTCGACTTCTGAATGCTCCGGGTTTATAGTGTGTTCACACCTGTGGAGGTTTTCTTTTTGATTAAGCTGCAGCTTTTGGTGCCATAGCAGGACAAGCTATACGAGCTGAAAGTGTGTTCAAATGTAGTTTTTGTGCTTTGTGCCCAACATAAAAAACCTGCCCCCAGATCTTTCTCCATCTTCCCGTAAGTCCCAAATAAACCCTCCTGCTTCATGCTTGCTAACCACTGCAGCGTCTTTGAGTCCTCTTGCAGCGCTTTGATGACACTTCACCTCTCCTATATGCACTGACTCCTCCTTAATCCGACTTAGAGCTAATCTATCGCCGAGGGATGTGATCCGGCACTAAACACTAGGTTTGATTGTCGCAGAGCAGGGGAATCTCAGCCCTTAGTCACTGTCCCTCATCACGCATAGAATGCATGTCTTGATCATTTTTGTGTTTTAAATCTCCCTAAAAAACCACCAAAAAGAAAAAGCCTAGCTGTAGCTGTCCTCTAGTGAAAATGTCAAACCCAGAGTTTTACAATAACACGATGAAGCACGATACGCCAGACAAAACTCCTCATTTGGCATGTGTTAATTAGGAAGGACTTGCTCAAGTCCGAGAGTCTAGGAAAGAGCGGAAAAAGGAAACATTATAGCTTATATGCAGATTCTGCTTCATGCTTACAGACCACACGCTGACCGATCGGGGAGCACTTTAACGATAAACAAGTGTGATGTGGCAGTGGTGCGTCGTATGAGAGTCATACAAGGCATGTACCTGCCACACAAGTTGAAGGAAACTCTCTCTCTCACACACATACACACACACACACACACACACATCTGTCTAGAATTGTAGATAAAATTAGCAACGCTTCCACACTACATGCTTTAATCGTTCTTTCATCTTTCTTTCATTTTCTTGCTCCCTCCTTCCTCCTCTCTCTTCCCTCCTGAAGCTGCTGAGGTCCCTAAAAGGGGCAAAGAAAGCTGAGTGTATTTGTGTGTGTGGGATGGGGGAGAAGGAGAGACGGGGGAGAAGGAGGAGGAGGAAGAACTGAACTCTCCACCCACCCTGAAAAGAGGAGGTGAAAAAATGGGGATAGAAGCATGATGTCACAGGCAGCCAATAGGAAGTGTGGGCTGGGGACTGTTTAAGGCCTGTCAGCTGTCCTGCTCCATCCACATAGGCAGTGTGAGGTCAGGCACAGCTTTATCCATCCCCTGCCCCATGTCTGGTCACCGGCCTCTAGCTTCTGACCCTTGAGTCCACGCTCTATGTATGGCATATGAAGGTCCTGAAGCGAGGTCTCACTTAATGCTCTAGCTGAACTGCCATTGAAACACTGCCCCAAAACCAAATATGGTACAGATTAGGTGGAGAGCTGCAGTTTGTCATTTTGTATTGTTTCCACACGCTCTTTATCATGACTACTGTTTGTGTTCGAGGCCAGAAGTGAATGGGGGACTTGCGTCATGGTAAAATCCGATTAACACCGTAACTTAGGTTACAAATGAGGAGCTACGTCTGCGTTGAGCCTGTGAGAGAAACTTGCTGAAAGTGACGTAACCCACAGTTTGTTCAGAGACTTGTAAATAGTAGTTCATTTCTGCTGCAAGGCTTTGTGCAACTGCCATGATGTTGGGTGTTGCTGTTACTCAATTACTAATAAGGATAAACCTTTACAAGTCCATTGTTGACGACACTGTAGTGGTCCTTTAGTGTCGTTCGTGGCTTTACGTTGACATGGTAAGCCACCCTTTTGGGCTTATTGTCATTTTAAGACACATGGATTTAATGGGATGTTTAAGGTAAAGTAGCCCTTATTTATGATATCCAGTCACACCCTTTTGATGTGAAAGGATCGAGTGAGAATGAGCTAATTGCTGAATGCTGCCAAACATTTCCCGTCACCGGTCCTTTTTGGCCTTATCAGCGTGCATGTCAGTAGTAAGTGTCTCTATTCTTCTGTGTTGTTGAACTGTTTATGAGGAAAACTGCAAGCCTTTAACTCCTTGTGCCGAAAGGAAATGTTCAAAACAAGCACGAGGTTTGTGTGTATTCTACTGGATCCGTACAATACTGTTTTACTGTGACATCATCTGGGACTGTGGTATCTTATCAGGCCATTACACTTGAAAGACCTAGCCTTAAGTCTTAGTGCAGGCTCTCTAGATAAAGAGAGTGATTCATCGTAACTCTGGTGCTTGTCCTTTTTTTT